CCAGGCAGTTCTTTGAACCTACTTGCATTAGCTGTGGTGACAGGAGGAATCAAACTGAGACAGAGAACTGGACAGACTAGGTGAAAATATGAAACCTTTACTTAATTTAATGATGATAAACTTATCTTGAGAGATAAATTTTCTGTTGAAGTTTAGGGTATATTGGAACAGTGCAGTTTACTGAGGATCATATCTACAATCTTTTGACAATGCCAAAACTTGCATTTTGACAATGCTTATCTAGGGTTGGGGGAGGAGTTATTTGTCTCTTTTTATTATTATTTTAGTGATACTCTCTCTGTATGAGTAGCAGTTGATAATATTTTCAAGACAACTGATCATCTGGTGATGGTTGTGGGTACAGTGGGTTTTCAACCAAGATTGCTTGCTTTGCAGCCTGTTTTCTGTGGAATCCAACTTGATTCTATCTAGTTGCCCTATCTGTTACCTTGAACTAATCTATCTAGGATGCTCATGTGGCTTTCTAGATACGAATTCACCAGATAGCGGATGCTGAAATATCTCTGATATCAAAACCTGATGAGGTGGTTTCTGTTCTGGATTAGGGTGGAGGAGTCCAGGAACCCTCTGCAGGCTTTTGAAGTCCAACTTTTGCATGTGGCAAAGCAACCTGTAAAAGTCAATATAAAAGTTGAAGGTTAACAGTAAACACTGCTGGACTCTCCTAAGCTTTGACAGACCACTGTTGTTCACTGAGAAGTTGCTGCCTTCCTGTCAGTAGACATTTAGATGGTGCCTCTGTCTCACACAGTTTGGGCTGTTCGATCATAAGTGATTGCTAGGACAGTAAAAAAAATAGCAGAATGCCATTGTGGAATTGATCACCATCGGATATGATGAATGACAGTATGTAAGATGAAAAATGGCAAGTATTAAAAGAAGTCTCTGTTTTAAAAAGAGTTCCTTATTGCAAATATACAACACCCAGCTTCATTCGTATTTGGAATAAAGCGATCCCACTGATTAAGTTTATACTGTATTTAAAAAAAAAAGTTTTTGTATATACAGTTTTTGTGAAGGAGACTACTATTACTTGCAGTCAGCATGTTTTACCTTTCTCTTAAATGTCTGCCTTCCGTGATGACAGTACAGCTGTCTTTATAATAAAAAGTAACATGGCTTAGTAGTAGCACATCAGCAGATTGAGGCAGTTGGTGCTCAGGCCCTTCTCTCTACCTAACACGCTGTTTAAATAGTCTACTTCAGACTAGATTTAGTCTGGCCTTTTGGACGAAATACTCCTTCCACGCTTACGAGTCAAAGCTGACTGAAGGACCGCTGATTGATCTTGACCTATCGGTTCCCATTTCACAGGTAGGATGCAGTTGTGGAGCACATAAAGGAGAGCTTCTGTAAAGAAATTCTCATTTCCATTCCCCCGAAAGGAATCTAGTTCACTTGGCCAGAACTGCGCTGTAACCTGTACCAACCCAAGGGAGAAGGGAGTGATTCACTCCAAAGCTGCACTATGCTTTTCTGAACCAAAATGTTCCAGAGGCAGCCGTGATACTGTAGAATAGTCCCTCTGTAGCCCATGAATAAATAACCCTTGGGTTTATTTAATCTAATGAAACAAAATAGAATTCTGTTCCTGTCTAGCCCCTCTGTGAATGAGGAGATAGAAATCAAGTTAGGAATGCAATAGAAATCTGAAAGATAGTGTTGTGTTTGTTAGTGGGACTCTTCTAGCAGGTTGGTATGTTCACTGTACCAAATATTTTGATGGAAAAAATACTTGCTTGAGAGTGGATGTTAACCTGTTGTTTTGCACGTTGCTCGTGCTTGCTAATGGCTATAATTCTGGGAGTAAGGCTTGTAATATAAACAGAAATCCAAAAACTCACAAGGGCAAAAGTATTGCAATGCGAAGCAGTGGCCGTAAGTATTTTTTCTTTTTTTTCCCCCGTCAGTTGAGAATATAATGGAAGTCATAAGAATTTTACATATGGCCTGGTTCCGGCAGGGATGGGGTTAATCTCCCCCGGAGCCGGCAGGGGGCAGGTATTCCATACCACGTGACCCATGCCCGGGCTATAAGAGGCGCTAGCCGGGGCGAGGAGAAGAGTCGCCACTCGGGGGTGGGCTGCGGCGGTGCGGGTCCGGTCGGTGCGCTTCGCGGCGGTACTGTAATCGCGTTTTTGTCTTTTCCTTTTG